CCCCCCCCCCCCCGATAACATTATGCTAAATTTCCTGATAACGATATGAATAAACTTTTTTTATACATATATAAACATATATTTCAGCTTTGATAAAATATAATCCTTTCTTTCACGTTTTTTTTTAATGTACGGAATAAAATAAATTTAAAGTTTTACTTTTGTGAAACTAAATGATATGTAATAAATTATATATAAAACGAAAAAATTTAATTGTGATAATTTCGAAATTTCAAGAAGAGAGCTTATTGGAATTGATATATGTGCATTCCTCGTAAATCTCGATTTCCCTGAAAAAAAAAAAAAAAACAGCATTTGTATAAAAATGTGAAAGTTGTTCTAATTTTTTGAAATATGTGAGTTGTTATGATAGAGATATACGTGATATGAGTTACACGTATCGAATAGAAAAGGTCTATAAATCCAAATAAAATGCGTCGCGGGTGAGAAATACAGACAAAGCGCTTCTGCAAATAAAGAAAAAGTGACGAAGCGCTGTCGCATGAAAGTGCCCGTCGTCCCTCCCAAATTTATTGATCGAAGAGAGCGTCGACGGGGCGAATCCGCGACAAGACGATGCGATGGCGTGAAATAAAGCCGAATAGGGTATGCCAGTAAACATCCTCCGGTTGTGTAGACGATACTGAGAAATTTTAAACGTGAGCAGCGCGTGGAATACGGGGGATCTTTTTATTGAAAATTTTCTTAAAATGCCAGACCCCCACTTTGAATAGAGAATCGTTATAAAAACGTAAAACGAAGGGTGTTCAAGCGTTGTTTTATCATGTGCTGATCTGTTCGGGTCACGATATATAAAGTGATAGGTCACAATATAAAATGCTACAGACATCCGTTTTGCTATCGCGATTATTATCGCGATAGCAAGTTCAACATCGAAATTTACATTCGTCGACCCATATCTCTCATCGTACATATTTGGTATTACATTCACTAAGAATCATCCTACGCGCTTTGAATGAGATCTTCGTATTAAGCAAGTAGCACAGAGAACTATGCTAACCACATTTAGTGTACACTGAGTACACGGGCTTTTGAGATACACCGTCATGTTGGGCAAATAACACGGAGAGAATCAGTCAACTACATTTAATACTGAACATGCTGCTCTGCGAGAATACCAAGCACTGAAATGTACATTTAGACAATGATATAGCTGCCGATTAACGACGATTAAATTTACATTAATTGTTACAATTATAGACGAAAAGTTCGATGTAGTAATTGTTTTAATTAATTTAATTAACTGACGTTTTCAATAATAATGGAAGAAGTGTTTATTTTGATAAACCGCAGAAACTAGAAATATCGAAAACGCTCGCAGTCAACAGAAAAAGTATTGACGAAGTAACGAAAGCAATAACTGAAATAATATGAATTTTACATGAGAACCCGAACGTTTTTATGTTGGAAAGATGATACTTGCTTTTCCTTCGTTTTCCGATTCCACGATACTTTTCATGCGAGGTTTTTTCCGATTTGGCCGAGATATCGGATAATATTAATGTTTATATGGGTAATACCTGAACCTCTAAGTATAGCGCCAGCTTCAAATTGAAAAAGAATTTTTGCAATTCTGTTTACAGAATGTCCCGTCTCCGAAGACGGGATGGAGCGGTTTGCGTGCCCAACCGCGGATAGAATGGGTAGATATCATTGCATCGACGATCATGTCTTGTGCGACGGCTTTATAGACTGTCCTACAGGCGAAGATGAGGATAGGCAAGCCTGCATGTTTTACAAAACCGTGAGTAAAATTATGTAATAGTTATATTTATTAATATATACGTACGTTCTATATATTTCTCTCTCTCTCTCTTTCTCTCTCACACACACACACACACGTACGCGTACACAACACACTTGTCTAAACACGCACATCTTCAGCTCCCTTATCCCTAATACGAAAGAATTTTGATGAATCTGATCCTTTGAAGAAAACCAATCAAAATACAGAACGATTTTTTTTTATCTTAAACTTGGAAATATCGTATACCTTTTCCGTTAACGAAATCTAAATAAAAGAAGAAAGTTTTTGTAAAGTGCGAAAATTTCATTTAAATTTTCATCATCTGGTTAAGGCTAAAAGATACGTATGGCTATATGTATTTTACATTCTATGTAAAACTCTGCTGAACTTTTAAAGTGACTTTCGTTATAAAGTTCAAAAGAAAATGGAAGCGTGTGTTTGCGTTAACCGTGGGTGTAATATCAAGAGCTCGTTTTCTGACTCGCCGGTAGCATTTTCTGGCGGGGTTTTGGAGCAAAATACGGGAACACAATCTTTTTGATAATTCACACACCATCTGCTTGTACATGTGGAAAATAGCCTGCACGTCGATAAATTCGAGTTACCCAATTTTCTTTTCAACGTTCTCGCGTCAAGGGGATGCTATCAACACGACAGAAAAAAAAAGGTGGAGATCCCTAGATAAACTAATATTATACTATATATTGACATTACTTCAGATAAAAAAAAATATTATCCTTTATCCTATAAGAGGGTAATGTTCAAAATTAATAAAAAGATTGAAAAATTTATTATTATAGAAAAGTGTATACTAAAAGTATATCAAATATATTAATATTATAGTATAAAAATACTATTAGAGCAAATGTTATTATATTAAAAATACCAACCTGACATTTAAATATTGGATTTAATATAGTAAACTATATTGTTAAACCTATAGTGTCAAATTTAATTAATTTAAGTCGTCACTGCTCCTACTAAATATCGATAATTAAATTTGACACTGTATCGTATCAATTTGACACTATGTAGTATCAAATTGATACTGCAGTGTCAAATATAACTGATGTTTTAGTATAAAATAACGATATAATTAAGAAGCAGTGACGACTTACATTAGGTTAAATTTAACAATATAGATTTAACAGTGTACAGACGTGAAAACGAATAGTACATGAAAATTTATATAAGGAAAGGACGATTTTGATGAACTATTTAAAAATTTAGTCACACAGATATATAGATACATTCAAAAACAATTTTATTAGATTATTAAAATAATTATTATAGATAGACCCGCTCATAGATAATAAGCAATACTGCAAAAAGTTTTGACATTCTGACTTGAACGTTCTATATAATTATTGTGATAATCTAACAAAATTAAATTTTTTTCAGATCTGTATGTAAATGTAACTAAATTTTTAGTTATTTTAGTAAAACCGTTCTTTCAGTATATGTTTCAATTATTAATCACAATCATTGCACAAACAACGTACAGGAAGGGGCACGAACCAAGAATTACGGAATTTATGCATATATACAAATTTCATTTTCCTTTTCCACACGAAATAAAGTAAATGTACTAGTTAGTGGACATGAATCAATTGTTTGACAAAGTGATAAAACATTTTAAATATTAAGCTTTTAGTGATATGTACGATTCCAAATAAATTTCATTATTAAATTTTCATAAATAAATTTATTTGGAATTATACATATGACTAAAAGTTTAATATTTAAAATTGTGTACCACTTTGTCCAACGAATTGAATCATATCCACTATAACTGGTTACTAAGTCGGCAGATAATACAATCGCATTCTGATATGTTTCAGACAAAAGCGCATCTGGATGTATTAGCGGACGCCATACTACGATGGGCGAGAGGACGCTAATTCCTTTCTTTGTTGACGATGAATCTCCAAGCTGTATATAAAACCACAAGTCTGATACGTCTACTTCTTTATAATATTCATCTCGATATCTTTTTCTCCTACATTAATCTATTTTCCGGAAACTGTTTTCTCTCTATGTTTGGCGCATAGAGACGTTCATATTGAAATCAAACTCAGGGGAACGCGTTAAGAACCGTCTCTCTCTCTCTCTCTCTCTCTCTCTCTC